CGGGGGGATGGTCACGCCGCAATCCCTTCTCCTCCATTCTCCTCTCGGGATCTTGGGCATGCACGCACACACGCCCGGCGTGAGTTTTAAGCCACTGGGTCCGGGATGTGAACCGCGGTCGACTACGTGGGAGTCCAGCGACATAGCCATTACGCTAACTGCTGGTTCCCTAGAACATAATTTTAAATTCTTCATTTTTTTTTTCTTTTTGGAACTGTGAAAAGATTTTATTTATTGAGGTCAAGAGGATGTAAACAATATAAAAATCAAAAGCTTAGCTGATATTTTATTCGTTTTTGTTTCTCTGCTTGTCCAACGGGGGTCACGTTTTTGTTGTACATTTTCTCAGGGTCCTGATCAGCTCATGGGATCCTCATACGGGAGCTGCGAGGTGGATTCGAGTGCCCCGCAGGAGAGCTCTTCGCAGGATAGGAGCCCTTGTTCGGCCCTGCCTGCTTCCGGTCTGTGGGCACTGCAGAATGTTGCATGCCCTGGTGAGGCCTGCAGTCAGAGAGAAAGCTCTGGAAGCCCGTGGTGCCGTCTTGGCATTGGTCTGAGTCCTCCATTACTTCATCCACAGCCAGAAGTCCTGGAGACCCCTTTTCCATGGACACACTCAGTCCTCCTTTGTCAAGTAGCCTTTGTCCCAGCAAGTCTGTGAAGTGTTAGCATGGTTTTCCATGGCGTGCTCCATCTGAAATGGTGTTTTCGTCGTCTCTGCTGGAACCTTGACGGGCAGGCAGGTGTAGACGCAAGCTGGGCCGCAGGGCAGCGAGCAGAACACAGCGGGCTGGGTGCTTTAGCACACGGGTGGGCCAGCTCAGAGAGCTTAAGTTCAGATTTTAATTTGGATGTTATGTTACAAGGCTAAACGTTTTCTGTTTATTAATTTCTCCCCTTAAACGCTGTAAGTTCCTACCCCTTAGCCTGTTTACTGATCGGGGTTGTATTTTTTAAGAGCCCTCAATAGTTTATTGGGAGAGTCATAATAACCATCTCTGCGAAATCACTGAAAGGAGCAAAACTAGGAGGCTCTTCTGTTGAGGAGCAGCCTCAGCTGGTGTCTGTTCCATAATAGCCCCCTTTTTCTCTCTGCTTGGCTGCTTTAATTCTCTTTCTTTTTTTAAGAAACATTTGTCACAGGACCTGTGCCGACCCGGGGGGACAGTAGAACAGGTTTCCTGAGTGAAGGAGTGAGAGCCAGGACAAGCGGTGTAGTGTTACAACACAGAAATGACACAATGTATTCAGTGTCGTCTGTTTATTGTGAGCAGCAAGGTACAGCACTGAGACGACGCAGTGTTACAACTCTTCAGGGTTGCGTCGTCTATTGTGAGCAGTATGGAGATGACGCGGTGTCACAACTCCTCAGGGTCATCTGGAGACGATGTAGTGTTACAGCTCTTCAGGGTGTTCAGGGTCGTCTGGAGACTGCGGTGTTTCAGCTCTTCAGGCTCTCCAGGTCGTCGTCTTCCTGGTTGTCTGTGTCGTCTTCCTGGTTGTCTGGCTACTGTGGGCCAGGCATCGTGGTTATATACACACTGGTGGGCCATGATTGGTTGTAAACGGTGGGCCGTGATTGGTTGTAAAAGGTGATTTATGATTGGTTGCTTTTGGACCAATCATGAGTTGCCGGATATGCAAATCTGAGGGATTCTAGTGGCCAATCAGAGCAAGGTTTCGAAGGTCAGGTTTTGAAGGGAAGCCAAACATGGCTTTTGGCATTGTGTAATTGTTTGCTTTCTGAGAAACCGGCAATATTCACTGGTGCGCAGCCTCCCACATATCCCCCCTCTCTGTTTTAATTTGAGAGATGAGGAAAAGACCTGGGGGAATCGTGCCTGTCTTAGGTTGGAGTCGTTTATGGAACCATATGTCCATTCTTACCCATCATTGGAGAGTCCCATAGCTATGATGGGCCGTCTTTGGCTAACCGATTCAGCGCCTCAGGAGGTGACTGACAAGCGAGGTGTGGATCTTGGTGTTGGGAGTGGTTGACAAGCTAGGTCTGGGCCTTGGTGTTGAGGGAGTGGCTGACAAGTTAGGTGTAGGCCTTGGTGTTGGGGGAGGTGGGTGACAGGCTAGTTGTAGGCCTTGGTGTTGGGGGGTGGCTGACAAGCTAGGTGTAGATCTTGGTGTTGGGGCCCTGTTTGGGTTTTTCATTTCTTTCTCCATCTCTCTCTCTTCGTCACTCATGGAATAAATGAATAAACTTAAAAAAATACTAATAATAACATAGATACAGGTCAAGCATCCCTAATCTGAAATTGAAATGCTCCAAAATCTGACCTTTTTGAATGTCACACGATGCTACCAGTGGGAAACCCCGCACCTGACCTCGTGTGCTATCAGAACACTACAGTACAAAAATGCTGTGTGAAGTTACTTTGAAGCTGTATGTACAAAGTAAATGTAAAACGGAACGTAAGTGAATTTCATGTTTAGATTTGCGTTCCATCCCCAAGATAGTTCATTATGAATATGCATAGATGTCCAAAATAAAGGGAAAAATCAAAACCCTAAAACACTAACGGTCTTGGGGCTAGCAGGTGGCATGGTAGTTAGGGTGCTAGACTCCCACATGGCCGACTGCGGTTTGAGTCCTGGCCTGGTGGCTTGAAGATCATGCTGGGCGCGTGTGTGCACATGGCTACAATCCCAAGAGGAGGATGGGGACAAGAGATTGCAGCGTGACCATTCCCCCTGGGGATGATTTGTCACTTTCTCACTGCCTCTTTCTTTTTCTCCCTGGTGAGCACACATGCCCTATGGCAAAAAAATTTTAAATTAATTTTTTTAAATGTGCAAAGGTCTCACATGCGAGATACGCGAACCTGTACGTGTGCTCAGTGGGACGTGTTAGCTGAGGAGGGAAGCGTCAGCAATGTACGTACGGTGTGGTCTCGTCGTTATGGGAGATGTATGCTTATACCTGCATGTACATGGAACATACCCCAGAATATTAGCAGTGTTTATCTCTCTGTAATCACTTCCCTTCTGATTTTTTTATTGTTATTTGAAGCATTCATAAAATATATGTGTTTGAGCGTGTACATAGTTTTCACAATTACAAAAGAAAACATTGCAGCTATTTCTGCTTTGAAAAACAGACCCAAGTGCAAAGTTGGAGGAAAAGAGAAGGTACAAGATGAGGTGACCCAGGGTGGGTTTGGACAGAGAGGTGCCTGAGGTGAGGTGAGGTGACCCAGGGTGGGCTGGGACAGAGGTGCCGAGGTGCCGTAGAGTCGAGGCTCGCAGGGACGACTAGGAGAGGAATACGGACGACGGGTCCCCTCTGAAGGGCGTCAGGCTTCTCCAGGTCTTTGCATCTGTACCCAAAGTCTAGGCTGGAGCCAGGGCTACATAAAACTCCATTAAGGGGAGAGAATAAAGAACAGTCCCTGCTCCCGATGTGGGCAGCTGAAGGGAGTAGAAATGAGACTAACAGGGAACAGTGAAGCCAAAGCTTTCCAGGGGGAAGGGACCCGCGGCCTGGAGCAGGAGGGACAGTGGGACATTTGGGAGGGACCCTTGATGCTCCTCTGCCTGAAGGTGAATGTGAAGTACCGCCCAAGGTTGCAGTTCAGGTGGAAGCTAGAGCCATTGTCCAAGGCTAGACTATGGAATCCATTATACCAGGTCACTTTAGATTTCCGGCCCTGAAAAGACTGAATGTGACTCTCGGTTAAAAAGAAGCTCTGCAACCTGTCGGTAGGTGTTTGCTTACTGGGCTCCCCACCACTCCCCACCACCTCGCCCATCTCCACTCAGACATAGTAGTTTCTCAGTAAACATTGTTGACTGAGACCAGCAGTTAGCGTAATGGCTACGTCGCTGGACTCCCATGTAGTCAACCGCGGTTTGAGTCCCGGGCCCGGTCCCTAAACTCACATCGAGCACGTGTGCGTGCGTGCCTAAGATCCTGAGAGGAGAATGGAGGAGAAGGGATTGCGGCATGGCCATCCCCCCTGGGGGTGATTTCTCGCTTTCTGTCTCTCTGTTTCTCTCTGTCTCTCTGGCAAGCGAATGCACCCTATAGCAAAAACCTCTAAAAAAAAGAAAAGAAAAGAAGTAAACATTGTTGAGTGAGTGGAGATCACAGCGGGAGCCTTTTCTGTGGAAGCTGCACTCCAGTACTGAAGGACGTGAACACTCATTGCTGGCTAATGTATGCATTTTCATGTAGCAGTTGTAAACTCTCACGATGACCAAACTAATAATAATACATAACACTTGCATTGCCATTTGGAAATATTTTTCATTCTTCACGTCGTTAATATCTGGAGTATACAGGTAGCAAGAATCTTAAGTTTTTTAAAGTGTAAGGATGGTAAGTATTTTTATAATTTCTAGCATGGATATTGGACAATTAATATAGTAGGCAACAGATTGGAATTTTCTTTGTAAGAGTAGCACCAAAGGGGCCAGCAGGTGGCGCAGGGGTTGGGTGCTGGACTCCCACGTGGCCGACCGCGGTTCGATGTCTGGACCTGGTAGCCTGAAACTCTAGCAGGCATGTGTGCAAGCTGCCCAAAATCCCAGGAGGAGAATGGAGAAGAAGAGATCGCGACAGGAGGGCACATGCCATACGGCAAAAATCAAAAAAAGCACTAACACTAAAATGTCCCACCCATTGATGTCCTCAATAAATATTTTTGTAATATGAATTTTTTTTATAGATTCATGGGGCGAATGATTATAACTCAACAAATGGAAGAAATTGTAAGGTAATTATAAATTCACATTACCTAATTACTTTTAAGTGGGAACTGTCCGGGGGAGGAATTAAAAAGTTAAAGAAGCCGTACATCCTGAAAAGGTCTCATTGGAAAGCAGTTAGCATTGCATCAGCTGAGCAGCAGTAGATGAGAAAGAAGCAAATCCTATGAACTGATACAAAAATAAATTCGTAAGTTTGTGTATTTATATTTCCTTTTTACTAATAAGATAGTAATATTAAAAGGCAACAGCTGCTTCTATTCAGATACTTACTAATTTAAACTCACAACAAATACTTAAAGAATATTAAAATGTTTTATGGAATGTTTAGCAAGTATAAATGCTGTTTTCTTTGTTTCAAAATAATGTAGTGTAAGCTACAGTGTTTAAGAGCAAATCCAGACCACTTATTCTTCTGGTAGTTTTTTGCTTGGTTGGTTGGTGTGGCTTGTTTTCACTCAGTATTCAAGTTAATTTCTGACACCTAAATGAATTATTTTGGGTCAGTCCCAAGATTTGCTGATAGAATGGTATTACATTGTTTCTTATTTATAAGGCCTAATTTAAAATCAGTCTTGGAATCGGCTCTCGAATTTCTAATCAAATTGGGCATCCTACTTCTCTTCTGAGAGGGAATATGTTCAATTTATACTGGTTGCATGAAATGCGTCACTGACAGAATTGAGTTTTTTGTTTGTTTTTTAAGGTTTTTGCCATAGGGCATGTGTGCTCACTGGAGAGAGACAGAGAGACAAGAGAGAGGGAGCGTGCAAAGTCACCCTTCAGGGAGGAGGTCCCCGCCACACTTCCTTCTCCCGTTCTCTCCGGGACTTGGAGCCAGGGCTACATAAAACTCCATTAAGGGGAGAGAATAAAGAACAGTCCCTGCTCCCGATGTGGGCAGCTGAAGGGAGTAGAAATGAGACTAACAGGGAACAGTGAAGCCAAAGCTTTCCAGGGGGAAGGGACCCGCGGCCTGGAGCAGGAGGGACAGTGGGACATTTGGGAGGGACCCTTGATGCTCCTCTGCCTGAAGGTGAATGTGAAGTACCGCCCAAGGTTGCAGTTCAGGTGGAAGCTAGAGCCATTGTCCAAGGCTAGACTTATACCAGGTCACTTTAGATTTCCGGCCCTGAAAAGACTGAATGTGACTCTCGGTTAAAAAGAAGCTCTGCAACCTGTCGGTAGGTGTTTGCTTACTGGGCTCCCCACCACTCCCCACCACCTCGCCCATCTCCACTCAGACATAGTAGTTTCTCAGTAAACATTGTTGACTGAGACCAGCAGTTAGTGTAATGGCTACGTCGCTGGACTCCCACGTAGTCAACCGCGGTTTGAGTCCTGGGCCCGGTGGCTAAACCTCACACCGAGCACGTGTGCATGCGTGCCTAAGATCCTGAGAGGAGAATGGAGGAGAAGGGATTGCGGCATGGCCATCCCCCCTGGGGGTGATTTCTCGCTTTCTGTCTCTCTGTTTCTCTCTGTCTCTCTGGCAAGCGAATGCACCCTATAGCAAAAACCTCTAAAAAAAAGAAAAGAAAAGAAGTAAACATTGTTGAGTGAGTGGAGATCACAGCGGGAGCCTTTTCTGTGGAAGCTGCACTCCAGTACTGAAGGACGTGAACACTCATTGCTGGCTAATGTATGCATTTTCATGTAGCAGTTGTAAACTCTCACGATGACCAAACGAATAATAATACATAACACTTGCATTGCCATTTGGAAATATTTTTTCATTCTTCACGTCGTTAATATCTGGAGTGTACAGGTAGCAAGAATCTTAAGTTTTTTAAAGTGTAAGGATGGTAAGTATTTTTATAATTTCTAGCATGGATATTGGACAATTAATATAGTAGGCAACAGATTGGAATTTTCTTTGTAAGAGTAGCACCAAAGGGGCCAGCAGGTGGCGCAGGGGTTGGGTGCTGGACTCCCACGTGGCCGACCGCGGTTCGATGTCTGGACCTGGTAGCCTGAAACTCTAGCAGGCATGTGTGCAAGCTGCCCAAAATCCCAGGAGGAGAATGGAGAAGAAGAGATCGCGACAGGAGGGCACATGCCATACGGCAAAAATCAAAAAAAGCACTAACACTAAAATGTCCCACCCATTGATGTCCTCAATAAATATTTTTGTAATATGAATTTTTTTTATAGATTCATGGGGCGAATGATTATAACTCAACAAATGGAAGAAATTGTAAGGTAATTATAAATTCACATTACCTAATTACTTTTAAGTGGGAACTGTCCGGGGGAGGAATTAAAAAGTTAAAGAAGCCGTACATCCTGAAAAGGTCTCATTGGAAAGCAGTTAGCATTGCATCAGCTGAGCAGCAGTAGATGAGAAAGAAGCAAATCCTATGAACTGATACAAAAATAAATTCGTAAGTTTGTGTATTTATATTTCCTTTTTACTAATAAGATAGTAATATTAAAAGGCAACAGCTGCTTCTATTCAGATACTTACTAATTTAAACTCACAACAAATACTTAAAGAATATTAAAATGTTTTATGGAATGTTTAGCAAGTATAAATGCTGTTTTCTTTGTTTCAAAATAATGTAGTGTAAGCTACAGTGTTTAAGAGCAAATCCAGACCACTTATTCTTCTGGTAGTTTTTTGCTTGGTTGGTTGGTGTGGCTTGTTTTCACTCAGTATTCAAGTTAATTTCTGACACCTAAATGAATTATTTTGGGTCAGTCCCAAGATTTGCTGATAGAATGGTATTACATTGTTTCTTATTTATAAGGCCTAATTTAAAATCAGTCTTGGAATCGGCTCTCGAATTTCTAATCAAATTGGGCATCCTACTTCTCTTCTGAGAGGGAATATGTTCAATTTATACTGGTTGCATGAAATGCGTCACTGACAGAATTGAGTTTTTTGTTTGTTTTTTAAGGTTTTTGCCATAGGGCATGTGTGCTCACTGGAGAGAGACAGAGAGACAAGAGAGAGGGAGCGTGCAAAGTCACCCTTCAGGGAGGAGGTCCCCGCCACACTTCCTTCTCCCGTTCTCTCCGGGACTTCGGGCACGCACATGCATGCCCGCGGAGTGGCTTTCAGGCTCTCAGGCCTGGCATGTGAAGCACGGCCAGCCACGTGGGAGTCGGGCGCCTTAACCACTGCGCCCCCTGCTGGCCCATGAGTACTTTTTAATGAAATCTTCGGGACCAGCCTCCCAAAATAGGCATCAGCACTGATGCACTTTTTTTTGAGAGGTTTTTGCTATAGGGCGCATGCGTTCGCCAGAAAGACAGAGAGAGACAGAGAGACAGAAAGCGAAAAATCACCCCCCAGGGGGGATGGTCACGCCGCAATCCCTTCTCCATTCTCCTCTCGGGATCTTGGGCACGCACGCACACGCGCCCGGTGTGAGTTTTAAGCCACCGGGTCCGGGACACGAACCGCGGTCGACTATGTGGGAGTCCAGCGACATAGTCATTACGCTAACTGCTGGTTCCCACTGATTCACATTTTTAGTTAACATTAAGATAACGACATGCTCAATAAACCCCAGAATAGCAAGACTTGATGTGCAGGACCCTTGCTGAGAAACTGGATTAGACTGTCTTGATTTCTATACTGAAATAGTGGGAAATGTATGGGTGTGTATTCTGAATTGCATTAAGATACTGTTGCTGGTTGAAGAAAACAGCAGTTATGTTACTTAAACCTCTAGAATGGTTAAAAAAATACAGAAAGAACCGAGAAGCAGCTAGAGAACTGATGGCTTATCTTATTATCTGAGGCCTTCATTATATCTCAATTTTATGTGCCGCTGTGAACTCGGAGAACCAACACCACCTGGAAAAGCTATTATATAGCTCATGAATAGCTGCCACATCGATTTTTGCAGAAATATCCATGGAGTAGACTCAATACGACTGTAATAAAATCGCACTCCTTAACCATGTCTTAAACACCTGTTCCTCCTTGGCTCATAGCATTTATTTATTTATTCATTTTTAGAGAGATATTGCTTTAGGGTGCATGCCCTCACCAGAAAGACAGAGAGAAGATGAGAAATCACCCCCCAGGGGGATGGCCATGCTGTAATCCCTTCTCCATTCTGCTCTCGGGATTTTGGGCATGCACGCACATGAACCCAGTGTGAGTTTAAGCCACCGGGTCTGGGACTTGTTGACTACTGGGGAGTCCGGCGATGCAGCCATTACGCCAACTGCTGGTCCCGGCTCATAGTATTTTTACAGTGTTCTAGTTTGCAGAAATCTTCATAAATGATTCAGGTTCTGTCTGATTCTGATGACTGTGTAAGTGCGTAAGGATTGTCAACAGAGACTTAAACTTATCCATAACAGACTCTGATCATTTGGCTGGCACTAAGAAGATACAATTTCCTTTCTATTAATAGTTACGCCTTGTCATTTTATATCTCCTTCATGGGGAGAAATTCACACAGCAAGAAGACCTGAGCTCCAGGAATATGCAATGCAAGTAGTCGAATTGTATTGTGAGGTCTTGCCTAGAAAAAGCACTAACGTACTTTCTACCTTATATTATAATCCAGCCTAGTTTTAATTGTGTGTAAATCATGCACTTATACACAAATCATACTACAGCTTATGTTTACATTGCATTTTAATTCTCCGTTTCTTTCTGAGGCTGTTATTAATGTTGCTCAAAAAGTTAAGAAAATCATCTTCTGCTAAACATTTTTTAGATCACTGCTTAACTTTGACTTTGTTATATTCCGTGTTTAAAATTTCAAAACTAGTGGCTTTGTGAATTTATTTACATGCATCGTTTTATTTTTGAGCCACTAATGATAAAGTGACCGAAAAGCTAAAGCAAGCGTCTGTTGTTTCACTCACTAACATCATGGTTGGCCTAGGCAGTTTTATGTTAAAGCAGTGTCATCCGCTGTAACTTAAGAAACAACTATCGAAGAAGCCATTTTTTTAATAAATGGAATTTTTAATATATTCAATGATCTCTGCCTATTTTTTTTTTTTTTCCTAGACCTTCAGGTCCAGAGAGTCTCTTGCTTCGTGGAGCCAGATTAAAAAACACAAAAGAAATTTTTGGTATGTACTTAATTAAAAATTTTAAATTTGTGATTTGAGTTGATAGTGTATACAAACTGTTTTTAAAAGGACATTTGTAGTCTTTTGGTTGTATAACTTTTTACTTAATTAAGTGTCGTCTGTGATGAAATTTTCTTACAAAGGTAACATTAATACAGTTTCGTGTTCGTTTTTGTTATTTATGCCTGTCTTTATAGACTAGCCTTACGTTGCTCTGAAGTTTGCTCTATGAGTACTTGTGAAACCCAGTGCTGAGAGGGCAGTGCGGGCAAATCTAGTGGTGGAGGGTGGTGCCCAGGGTAATCTGGTACCTTGGTGCAGTAAGCCACTTTCGTAATTCGAGCTTGGCTACCCTTCGATTGGGTTAGTACCTGCTGACCCCTTCACTCCTACTGACCGCTGACTACCGGGAGCTGTTACAGCAGGCCCTGCCTGGATCCAGAGTGACGGGCGAGAGCGCTCTTGCCTTGCAGGTCTGAAGTAATGCAGTCTGTCCTCGGCATCGACTGCCCTTTGCGAGGCCGACAGCCTTGAGCCCCTCCCGTTTCAGTGTTTCGTCCACTGGCCGTCCTCAGCCTTTGAGGACCTCTTCTTTATTCTGTTCCCTATTACCTGTACCAGGTCTCTCTCAGTACTGGGCTCTGTGAGAAAGAAATCCACATATCAGAGGAAAAGAAGGAAAATAAGCTTGGCAAGGATGTGGAGAAATGGGAACCCTTGTCGATTGCTGACGGAGTGTAAAATGTGATAGCTGCTATGAGAAACCGTCCGACAGTTTTTTCAATAAGTTAAACCTACGACTCAGGAGTCCAGCTCTGTATAGACACCCTAGGTGTTGGTGGTGTCCAAACAGGAGCTTGAACAAGAATGTCCATGGCGCTTTATCCGTGTGCGCCGCTAACAGGCCGAAGAGGTCTTTGTTCTGCACACAGTAGGGACTGTAGTTACTGGTCATGTATCATGTATTTACAGTAGCTAAAGAAGGGGCTCTCAGATGTTCCCAGCACGGAGGAACGGTGGCTATCTGCGTGGTAGGTTAGCTGATCGCTCTGATCTGCTCATTTCCCAGTGGGCACCACTTCGTACCCCACACACGTGCAGCCACTTGTCAGTTACGCACGTTTTAAATGTTCATAGCAGCACTATTACAGTAGCCAAAGACTGAGACCCCCCAAATGTTCATAAGGAGTGAACAAACAAGATGCGATATATCCGTAAAATGGAGTATTAAAGTCATAAAAAGGAGTGAGGTACTAATACCTGCTGTAACGTGGGTAACCCGTGGAGACACTGTGTTGGGCGAAAGAACGCCGGCACAGAAGGCCGCATACTGATGCCTCTGTTTGAAGTGCCTCCAGTCCTCAAGTTCATGGAGGCCTAGGCAGATGAGGTGTTCCCCGAGCGGTCATTGCATGGGGAAGGGGTCTCTGCGGTTGGTGACAGGTTTTCTGGTTGGACAGTAAGGATTGGTGCCCAGAATTTTGAGTGTACTAAATGCCTCAGAACTGTGTACTGCAAAATGTTGAAAATGGTAAATTGTATTATATTTTGCTATAGCTATAAAGAGATGTAAGGTCGTCGGAAAAGTCATGATGCATTTTTCATAGGAAAATTCAAAGCAGGGTTGGCTTCCGCTCACTGTGGGAACATGTATCTGAGTGCGGTTACATGAGTCTGACCTCTCCTTGCTTTAACTCCCCTTCCCCTGTTGTAGCATTCCGGCTCTTTTCACACATTTCTATCATGTTAGTGCCCTTTTGTCATTAGAATCGTAACACCTGCCTTTAAGAACCATTCCATTGATGGAAATTCCAGGCCTAGTCTTCAGAAAGAGGGCATAATGGGTACTGTACTCAGAGCTCGCTGTTTAGGGGCAGGAGCAAACTTTTATCGATCACCTATTTGTACATATTTTGCTGATTTTTTTTTTTCATATAGACCTTATAATAATTCTATGAGGCATTTTTTGTTAACACCGTTTGCTTCATCTCTAATGGCCCTCCCTGCCCTCTTTAACTTTCCAAATTATTTTCCCCCATCACTTCCAACCCTGATAATAACCACGTTCATTCAGATCTCTATTAATTCAGGAAGGTCCCTATGGCCTTCCCCGTCCAGTAAACTGAGTGACTGGGATTTCTCAAAATGGGGCTTGGAGAGACTTTAAAAAATGAAAAGACTTAAGGAAAAACCAAATTATAACAACTTTCAGAAAAGACCTTTTATTAAAAGCTTTGATGATAGTGAGTGGTTTTGGTTTTTGTTTTTGTTGTTGGTTTTATTTGTTTGTTTGTTTTTGAGAGATTTTCGCTATAGGGCATATGTGCTTGCTGGAGAGACAAGAAGCAAGAAATCATCCCCCAGGAGGGATGGCCATGCCTTAGTCCTTTCTCTTCCATTCTCCTCTCTGGATTTTGGGCATGCACGTCCGTGTGCCCAGTGTGAGTTTTAAGCCGCTGGGTCCAGGACTTGAACCACAGTTAACATTGTGGGAGTCCAGCGACATAACTGTTACACCGTCTAAGTGTAGCTAGTCCCTAAGGTTTGTTCTGTGTTGCAGGTGTGGCTATCTACACTGGAATGGAAACTAAAATGGCATTAAATTACAAGAGCAAATCACAGAAACGATCTGCAGTTGAAAAGTAAGAAAACTGTCTTCATTTATTTACGCATAATTATAGCTCTGTTTATGTTAATTATTCATATATATATCAAACATTTTGTGTGTAACAATACACAAGTTGAGTGAACAGGATATTATCCTTGGAAACAGGAATAGTTTTGCAATAGAGCATGTGCACTTACCAGAGAGACAGTGAGGAGTCATCCCGGGGGTGGCCACCCCACAGTCCCTTCTCCTCCATTCTCCTCTCGGGATCTTGGGCACACACGCACACGCAGCGTGAGTTTGAAGCCTCCAGGTCCAGGACTCAGACCTCTGTCAGCTATGTGGCAGTCCAGCAGGGTAACCGTTACGCCATCCTCTGGTCCCAGGAATAGTTCTTGTATTTCTGTATGCTGGTACAGTCCACATTGTGTTGAGCACATAGCCGGTGCTGAAGTATGACTTTCAAAATAAATAGTGTTGGGTAAATAGAATCACTAGCTCAGACTAACCCTCCTGTAGATAATAGCTAAAGCTCTAGGAAAAAAACATTTGTTTTCATTAACAACTCTGATGACCAGAAGACGACATCGACCGGGAAGGCATCTGATCGTGAGAGGTGACGGACGACAGCAAAGGGTGGTACTTCCTGCCCGTGCCCTCCGCCAGTGTGTGCTCCAGTTTGAGCTTCACTGGAGTGAAGTTTCAGAGGGTGTGACGCAGAGCTGGAAGAGCAGCTAGGAAGCTGGGGGGCCGCAAAAGGGAGTGAGCTCCAAAACCTGCACATAAATCCTTGCCCAAGTCCTTGGCCGAATACTGAAACTGCATGTGCCAAGGAGACCCCCGTGGGTTTGGCCAGAAACCAGCCGCAGCTCCAGCCGGGCTGGCTGAGTGGCAGCCCAGTGCTCCGGTTCTTATCAGAAACATCAGAGGGCGGATGACAGTAAAATAACTTCTCAGGGCTGAAAGAAAAGAAAACCTGGGCCCGACAGTAGTGCAGTGACCGCACGATGCCTTGCAAGGCGTGATCTACGTGGGAAGGTCCAGAGTCCGCCTCCCATGAACTCGTGTACACTGGGCATGCACACGGGGCCAGGGTCTGGGCCAGCCGACGTCGGCAGTGGGCTGCAGTGTGGGGCCCCACTGGGGTCCTGTCTGTCTCTCTCTCTCCCCTCGCCCTTTTCTGCCTTTTTGTCTCTCTCACTCATGGAAGAAAGAAGGAAACAACAAAAAGATTTTTAAACACCTGCACCTCAAAAGACTGTTAAGAAAAGCAGTGGACAAGCCAGAGCTCGGGGAAGTGGTTGCAAGGCACGTGTCTCACTAGGAGCCCGTGCACAGAATAACTTCCCTCCGCCTCTTCTTATACTGATTCTGGAAGCCTCGTTCAGCCCGACACAAAAGAAATGAAAGGTATAAACATTAGCGAGCAGGAAGTGCGAGCTTGTCCTCCTGGAAGACAGATGATTCTTCACATAGGCCGTCAGAAGCGTTCAACCAAAGCCCGTCAGCTCTCACAGTTCAGTAAGGTATCTTAATGAAGTTACTCATCTGTAAACTGCTGATTTCTTCAGAGTATTGTCCTTAAGACTTTTCATAAGCAAGCCATCCGGTCCAGGACTGGAACCATGGTCAGCCATGTGGGAGTGTCCAGCACCTTAACCACCATGCCACCTGCTGTTCCCTCTTGAATAGTTTTTTCTTCTTCTTCTTCTTTTTTCTTGGAGAGATGTTTTTGCTATAGGGCACGTGCGCTCGCCAGACAGACAGAAGAGAGACAGAAAGCGAGAAATCACCCCCCAGGGGGGATGGCCACGCCGCAATCCCTTCTCCTCCTGGGATCTTAAGCACGCACGCACATGTGCCCAGCATGAGTTTAAGCCGCCAGGTCCGGGACTCGAACCACGGTCGACTACATGGGAGTCCAGTGACATAGCCATTACGCTAACTGCTGGTCCCTTTGAATAGTTTTTTTTTTTTTTTTTTCATAATACACATGTTTCATTAACTTTCTGATGATCCTCTTGTACCTTTTTCTTGGGAATTAAGCAGGTGCTCCCACTCTGGAGGATGACTTGGCCGCCTCTTACAGAATTAAACACACAGACTCAGCTGCAGCGGGCATGTTGCTCGGGGTCGAGGCTGCATGGAGCCCTGGGCCTGCGCAGCCCAGCCTGAACAGGCCTGGACAGGAGCACACGCACCTGAGCTCCTAGCTAACTGAGGCTAGACCATGACATAGCAAGGCCCGTCCAAAACAAATCCATCTCTCTCTGTCTCATTAAGGGAAAAAAGTTAATCAAGGCTAGCAATCATTTACCATATGTCCCAGTAACTATACCCTGTGCATTAATCCCAGAGAAAAGAAGTTTATGCTGATGTAAATACTCATTCAGGAACACCCCTAGACACTTCACCTGTAAGAGCAAAAAACTGGAAACAGCTAGTGTCCCTCAGTGGGTGAGCAGTGAGCAAACCAGTACGTCTGGGCAATGGAACACTCATCAGCAATCAAAAGGAGTGATTCACACATGCAGCAGCCTGGATGGGCCTCAACAGCGTTATTCTTACTAGAAAAAAAAAAGTTAAGCTCAAAGATTACATTCTGTGTGATTCCAGTTTATAACACCCTCAAAATGACAAAGCTGTGGAGAGATTAGCGGCTGTCAGGGACAGGACGGTGGTGGGGTGGGTGCGGATACAGAGAAGCAGGTGGCACAGCATGAGGGAATTCTTTGTTGTGATAAAACGGTGTGGTGTCTTGATAGTGCTGGCTAGATTCATCTACGTGTGAGATAAAATTGCGTGGAACTGCACACACACACAAGTGAATGCAGGGTTTTTAAATGTAAAAAATCATCGTTATTCCAGTTCTGTGTGCTCTGACGTCTCTTTCCTGGGTTGATATTGTACTACCGCTATATAAGATGTCACAGTTGGGAGAATCGGCATTACGGGTACCTGGGACTCTACTATTTTTATAACAGCCTGTGAGTCTTTACATCAGATAAGAAGTTTTTAAAAAAGTAATGAGATGGGAACCAGAAGTTGGCATAATGGCTATGTCGCTTGGCTCCCATGTAGTCGACCAAGGTTCGAGTCCCGGACATGGTGGCTTAAACTCACGCCGGGCATGTGTGCGTGCGTGCGTGCGTGCCCAAGATCCCAAGAGGAGAATGGAGGAGAAGGGATTGCGGCGTGACCATATCCCCCCTGGGGGGTGTTTACTCACTTTCTGTCTCTCTGTCTCTGTCTGGCGAGCGCATGCGCCCTATAGCGAAAACCGCTCCCAAAAAAAAGAAAACTCAATTTAGAAATATTTAGTCATTTTTATGGATCTGTTGTGCTAGGTTTTCTAAGATTGATTCCTTTTTATTTTGGAAATTCCAGTCAAGTTACGAATTAACACTGACACGCAATGATACTACTAATACTTAAGACCCAGGTGCTAGTCATTGACCTGAGTAAGAGTTGAACAGGCTCATTAAGATGGCCTTCCGGGAGTGGTTTTTGAATGAAACTTTGGGAAATATTGGTAGGTTGAATAATACAGGCCAAAAGAGAGCGTGTCTGTTGAGAGTCAGCATGGGCAAGGACAGAAAATGGAGATCGAGCGGGCATTCTAGGAGGTGAACGAGGAGATACTAGTCTAATGAGGAGTGGAGACTTGGAAGTCAGACTGGTGCAGGTTGGAACTTCGACCCTGTGCTTGGTAACTCTGTGGCCTTAGACGGTCTCTGCCTTGAGCCGAGTGTTCTCATGCGTAAACATGTGAGCAGTTCTGTGGGTGAGGTGCTGCACACTGCCCCCCGACACACAAGGACAAGCGCTCCTTTAGTCTCCTCTAAGTACAGCAGAGTCCGTGCGGGGAGAGATGGCTACCCGCTCCCTGCATAACAAAGGTAAGACTAGACCACGGAAGGCCTCGGGTGAAGAAATCAAAATTTGAGCATTTTTCTGTCTTACGGGGTTTTACCAAACCTGTAATCTGCATTTTCCCTCAATAGCTGTTGGATGAGGGGGACTCATTATATCATCCTATTTGTTTGTATGTGTTTGAATTTTTAATAAAAATTACTTAAATTGTGTCAAGAATTTTTATTTTTAAGGGATTTTTGCTGTAGAGCACAGCAAAAAGGTGTCCTTGCCTGAGAGGTAAAAGGCGGGAACGTGAGAGATCACCCCCAGGGGGACGGTCACGCGACTACAGTCCATTCCTTCCGCGCTGCTTTTGGGGTTTGGGGTACACTCACACATGCGCCCAGCCCGAGTTTTAAGCCGTCAGGTCGAGGACTGTTCAACCCCGTGGGAGTCCAGCGCCTTGATCGCTGTGCCACCTGCCTGCACGGTGAATTTGCGTTTAAACTTAAAATCAAAGACGTGTGACACTGAGCTTGCCTAGTAAAGAGAAGAGGGTTCCAATGTCCATTTCTGACTTCGTGATTCTGGGGAATTTATGAAAGTGTTTGAGCTTTGGTCTTTATTAGTCAAAAAGATATAGTAATCTCTTCACAGGATTTTCATAAAATCTTAATGCTGCACAAATGCTAGTTATTTTTAGTTTTGCTTATATTATAATTAGATGGGCCCTTGAAATTGTAAAAAATTTCAGAATAATTATCTCGTGGCAAAAATGACTGGCCAGAACTGTCATTTACTGTACATATTTTGAACATAGCTGTAGAAAATGGTCAATCTTGGGGCAGCAGGTGGCATGGTGGTTAAAGGCGCTGAATTCCCACATGGCTGACAACAGTTCAAGTCCCGGACCTGGTCGCTTGCTTTCTCTCCTTTCCCTTCTCTCTTTTTCTCTCTGTCTCTCTCTGCTGATAAAATTGAAAAATAATAACAAATAAGTAATTCTTTTTTAAAAGTTTTTTTTTAAAAAAATGTTCAGTCTTATCTGTGTGTGTTGGTTCTTTTATGGCTGGGAAATAGATTCTATTAAGTGGTCATTTCTTGAAAACAAGGACTGTCCTTTAAAATAGCTACAGCAATACCATATATATTTTAAAATCTTTTTTAATAAAAGTATTAATTTTCAAGCAAGTGAATAAAGATATACATAACTGATGTTTTATGTTCTCTTTTTCTTGCTTCAGGTCAATGAATACATTTTTGATAATTTACCTAATCATCCTTATTTCTGAAGCCATCATCAGCACTATCTTGAAATATACCTGGCAAGCTGAAGAAAAATGGGATGAGCCTTGGTATAACCAAAAAACAGAACATCAAAGAAATAGTAGTAAGGTATTTTATGGTGTTCTTGACTGCTGGAAAGGAAACCTCATTGTTCGGCACAGTTAATGTTTCTGAGGTGACCTCCGATAGGTGGGACCAGTAGTCCTGAGGGTGACGAGATGGCAAGGCAGATGAAGAGCGCGCCGTGCGTGCCGGCGTGCTCACGCGGTTGAGGGTACAAGCCGTTGTATTCCTTCTAGCTTGACTTGGATAGTTAAAAATGGCCACAGAAGTTTAAATTCATCTGTATTCTCAGTCTGCTTTAATAGTACACGTTCATTTTTAAATTCCATTTACTTTGTGTTATAGGTGAATTAGAGAGTAAGTTATTTTCTGTCTGAATTATTCAAGGTGTCTTATTACCTGTCAGTTTTGATGGTAGGGAGTAATGCACAAATTCTGTCACACAACGTTTTAAACTGATTATGCACGTATGGATTGCCAAGCGAATTTAACCTGTAATTTTGGTAAATAATTATTCTTCAGTTAATAATTAAGTAATATTCTTCAGCTAGTAATAATTATTCTCACTTTTCACTTGAGATCAAAATATACATATTGAAATACCCCAGAGCTGATAATCACAGGGCTATTATTTTCAGTATCGGTCACAATTATGTATCTTGCCTTTTTGCTGAAATATGGTGCTACTTTGCCATTGAAATAGGCTGTCCTTGTGTACTTAATAGTTTTCCTTTGTAGCAATTCTAGTTAAGAATGGTAGTGTTTTAAGTTAGACTAGATTTTATTCTTTCTTTCTTTAGTGTTTTTTTTTTTTGTTTGTTTGTTTTTTTAGATTTTTGACATAGGGCGCATGTACTTGCCACAAAGAGAGAGAGGGGGAAAGTGAAAAATGTCCTCCCAGGGTGATGGCCATGCCACAGTCCCTTCTCTTCCACTCTCCTCTTGGGCGTGCACACATGCATGCGGCCTATTTTTCAGCCCACCGCTTCCGCTCAGCCAGCCATGTGGGATCCGGCACCTTAATCAATAGTACCTGCTGGCCCTCCAGTCAGTTTTTAGTTGTGTGACTTTGAGGGATCGAGGCAGAGTGGGTAAGGATACTCCAAAAGGTGTAAATGGTACTTTTTGCCGAAAGTAACCTCAGTCACACCAGGCTGGTGGCTGAAAGTTAGATTTAAGTTATTTGAATTGAACCTTTTCTTTACTGTGATCAAGATTCTAATGAGCAATAAAATAAAATGTAGTGTTAAAAAGATAATTCAGTAAATTAATTTTAACTTATGAGACTATTTTGCTGTAGTTTATGGTCTATTTATATATGAAAATTTCTTGTAATTTTCTTCAGTGATACTGAGCAATAATCAAGCTCTGCTTTCTTTTTTTCTAGATTCTGAGATTTATTTCAGACTTCCTTGCGTTTTTGGTACTCTACAATTTCATCATTCCGATTTCATTATATGTAACAGTTGAAATGCAGAAATTTCTTGGATCATTCTTTATTGGCTGGGATCTCGATCTCTATCATGAAGAGTCAGATCAGAAAGCGCAAGTCAATACTTCTGATTTGAATGAAGAGCTTGGACAGGTGAAATAACCCTCATTTTGTTTAAACATTTGGTTTTCATTATTTCTTTTGAATTTTGATTTCTGGTTTATATACGGCCATAAGCCTTTGTGAGGTACAGCATGCTTCTTGAAAGCATGCAAGCAGTATGCAGTAATCGGATCACCGCTGACAGGGACACGTGCCTCTCACTGGCGTTTCCATCCTTCTAGGTGGATTATGTGTTCACAGACAAAACCGGCACCCTGACAGAAAACGAGATGCAGTTTCGGGAGTGCTCCATTAATGGCATGAAGTACCAAGAAGTCAATGGCAGACTTGTACCTGAAGGACCCACTCCAGACTCTCCAGATGGGAGTTTATCTTACCTCAACAGCTTACCCCATCTCAACAGCGTGTCCCATCTCACAAGCAGTTCATCTTTCGGAACCAGCCCTGACAGTGAAACGGAACTAGTAAGCACTTTTTATACTAATCAAGAAGGGTTTCACCTGAGGTCATTCTCGTTGGGAGTGGACAAGCTGGTGTCGGCGGAGCAGGGAATATATACTTGAAATGTATTTCTTTGATTCAGCACTGTAAATTGTAATCATGAGGATTTGTAGTTACAGCCTAGTTTAACTTGTCTCTTAATACATGTGTGGCCTGGCTCTCTGGGTATTTAAATGGATTTACCCGAGTGAAGAGAAGCCCTTACCTCCTTGAAGGAAAGCAGATTTTTCCTTGAGGAATAGAGCTTACAACTATTTAATACTGTTTAAAACCTCACTTTTCCCACAAAGGAGTGTTTACTTTACTTGCAAACTGGCTGTACCTTCCAGCCGTTTGTGTCGAAGCGTCCTTAGCAAGGACGACACTTCATGTGGGAGTCAGCTCTTACTCAGAGTCCAGGTCGTAGCACACTTGTCCTAGAGCTTAGAGCTCTGTGTCTGCTTTCCTGACGGGCACTCGGGATCCATCCAGTTACCACGAATACTGCCTATCTTTCCACAGATTAAAGAGCATGACCTCTTCTTTAAGGCAGTCAGTCTCTGTCACACGGTCCAGATCAGCAGTGCTCAGCCCGACGGTGTTGGTGACGGGCCCTGGCAGTCCAGCCTGGCCCCCCCACGGCTGGAGTACTACGCGTCCTCGCCCGACGAGAAGGCTCTGGTCGAAGCTGCCGCCAGGTAACCTAGGCTGGTTTCCAGATCTCTGGGGCAGAGACAGACGCACACACACGCTTTTCAAATAGGTGTTAGTATGGGAGAGAACCATTATTCAAGGTTTTTAAACATAAATTCATAAAGTTGTCAAAATTAGCATAAACACATATAGGTAAAAGCACACTTTTCAGTTAAATTTAAATTATAATTTGAAATGCATAATTATGTCATGAAGCTTACAACAAAGTTTTTTTGCTTTTGTTTTTGTTTTTTTCTTTCTTGGAGAGATTTTTTGCTATAGGGCGCATGCGCTCACCAGAAAGAGAGAGAGACAGAAAGTGAGAAATCACCCCTCAGAGGGGATGGCCACACCACAATCCCTTCTCCTCTCTTCTCCTCTTGGGATCTTGGGCATGCACGCACACGCGCCCAGCGTGAGTTTAAACCACCGGGTCCGGGACTCGAACCATAGTGAGCTTCATAGGAGTTCAGCGACATAGCCATTACTCTGTCTACTGGTTCTGAAATACTTCTGTTATATTGTTTGAAGCTAAAATGATTTTAATCTTTTTTTTAAAATGTTTTTATTTAAGCTTACTTCTAATGATATATCATGAAATGTAAAATATCATCTCTTAAGTCTTACACTTCTTTGTTGTGTTATTTCCTAGGATTGGCATTGTATTTATTGGCCATTCTGAAGAAACGATGGAAGTTAAAACACTTGGAAAACTGGAACGGTAATTTTTTTTTAATATACAGACATACCTCAGAGATACTGTAGGTTTGGTTCCAGGCCACCACAATAGAGCAAACCTTATAGCACAGTGAGTCACTTTATTCATCTTTCAACTTCCCAGCATATACAGACATTTGTTGTTGTTGTTCCTTTAAGAATTATTTATTTAGTTAATTCCATTTGTTGTTATTTCTGATTTATTTACTTAATTCCATTTGTTGTTATTTCTATTTTTGTAATTTAATCAGAGAGAGAGAGAGAAGGGGAAAGCGAGAAAACAAGCCACTGGTCTGGGACTCGAACTGTTGGCCATGTGGTAATCAGGTGCCTTTAACCACATGCCACCTGCTAGCCTGCAAATGCTATTTTTACACCGTAATCCTGTAGCCCATTAAGTATGCAATATCATTATTTGTTTTTCTTTTTTAAAGAATTATTGAATTTTATTAATTATTACTACTATTTTAAAATTTGTTAAAGGGCACACTTCTTCACCAGAGAGAGACAGAGAGGGAAAGCAAGAAAGCAGGCCAGTGGGTCCAGTACCTGAACAACGGTCGGACGTGTGGGAATCCAGTACCTTAGCCACCATGCCATCTGCTGGCCTCCTTTTTTTTTTTTTATAAGATTTTTGCCATAGGGCATTTATGATTGCCATAGAGGAGAGAGATGGTGACAGGAAGGTGAGAGATCACCTCCCAAGGCGATGACCACACCATAATCCCTTCTCCTCCCAGAATTCTGGACACAAACACACACGCACCATTGCGATTTTCAAGTCCAGGACTTGAACGTGTTGTTGGCCGTGTGCAAGTCCAGTTCCTTAACTACTTGTACCAGCTGCTGGCCTGGCAATAGCATACTTCTGAAAGTGTGTGTGCGTGTGTGTGTGTCTGTGTGTGTGTGTGTGTGTGTGTACATCTTAATTTAAACCTCCTTATTGGTAAAAAGTACAAATGATCCTCTGAGCCTCCAGTGAGCCACGGTGTTTTGCTGGTAGAGGGTCTTTCCTTTATGTTGATGGCTACTGACAGATGAGGGTGGTGGCTGCTAAAGGCTGGGGTAGCTGGCAGTTTCATGCAGTAAGACAGCAGGGAGTTTGCCGTGCTGACCCCCTCTGCTGCTCAGGAATACCTTCAGTAGCATTCTGCTTACAGTGGAGCGTCCTTCCGATGTGGGGTCGGTCCTCACGAGCCCTGCCGCTGCTCCGTCCATTAAGTGTATGTAATACGCTAAACCCTTCATTGTCATTTCAGCAGCGTTCATCGGGTCTTTAACGTGAGTAGAGTCCATCTCAGGAAACCACTCTCTTTGCTCGCCCGTAAGAAGGAAGTCCTCGCCCATTCAAACTTTAGAGTGGAATCGCAGCAGTTCAGTCACGTCTTCCGGCTTCACTGCTGATTTAGTTGGACCACATATGCAAGTGTTTCCTCCAGTGAAGTCTGAGCCCTGGAAGGTCTTTCATTAGGGCCGGAATCTACATTTTCCAAAGTCCTGTTGATACGGATACTCTTACGTGGTTTTTTGGTTTGTTTTTTGTTTTTTGGGTTTTTTTAAAAGAGCTTTTTGCTATAAGGCGTGTGTACTCGCCAGACAGAGAGAGAAAGACAGAAAAGGAGAAATCACCCCCTGGGAGGATGGCCACGCTGCAATCCTCTCTCCTCCAGTCTCTTCTCGGGATCCTGGGCATGCATGCACATGCGCCTGGTGAGTTTAAGCCACCAGGTCCGGGACTTGAACTGCAGTTGACTACATGGGAGTTCACTGACATAGCCATTACACCAACTGCTGGTCCCACTTAAACTCATACTTTGAGCTTCTCCCATAAAGCCTGACTAAATAATGAGGCTTGAAAGTTGAAATTGCCCCTTGATTCCCGGGCTGCAGAATGGATATGGTGTTAGCAGGCATGAAGACAGCATTCATCTCCTTGTCCATCTCTGCCGGAGCTCGGCAACCAGGTGCACTGTCGGTGAGCAACAGTATGTTTAAGGAACCTTTTTTTCTGAACAGGAGGTCTCAACAGTGGGCTTAAACTACTCAGATAGACATGCCGGAGGGAGGCGTGCAGTCATCCGGGCCTCACACTTCCGTTTGTAGAGCACAGCACAGTAGCCTTAGCATCATCTGTAAGGTCTCTGGAGTTTCAGAATGGGAAAGGGCAACGTTGTCACTAGCCACATTAGCTCCTCACAAGAGAGTCAGGCTGTTCCTGAAGCCTTCAGGCCAGGGACCTTGCCCCGCTCTGTGAAAATCCTAGATGGCACCTCTGTCTATGAAAGGCTTAGCCATCTGCGTTGAGATGTGCAGTTCAGTGTGGCTGGCACACCTGGGTAACTGGCTGCCGCCTTCTGCCAGTGTTTGCCGTTTGCACTTTGCTGCGTTGAGATGTGCAGTTCAGTGTGGCTGCAGTTCAGTGTGGCTGGCACTTTGGTTGTGGAGACCGTGTCTCAGCCTGACCTCTTGAGCCTTTCCTCCTTCACCTCGGCCTTCATCACCTCGACCAGTTAGAGCTGTGTTCTGGGTTAGGTTCTGGCTTAAAGGATTATGTCACTAGTTTGATCTGTCTGGAGCACTAGAACTTTCTGGGCATCAGCATTAAGTCTATTCCACTTATCTTTCATGTGTTTACCGGAGTAGCACTTGGACTCTCTTCAGTGACTCTTCCTTTGTGTGACAACTGAGCTGTTTCGTACAAGAGATCTAGCTTTCAGCCTTCCTCAGCTTCGGACATGCCTTCCTCAGAAGCTTAATCATTTCTAGCTTTTGACTTAAAGCTAGAGATGTTCGATCTTCCTTTCACTGATTGGACTGATTTCGCAGTTGTGTGTCGTGGAATGGGGTGGGGGCAGGAGAGCATCACGTGTTGACACGGGACAGTTAAGTTCTCCGTCTATCGTGGCTGCTGTCACGTCAGACATCACAGACCAGGCCCGGCCATGGGAGCTCTCACTGGCACACTGCTATTCGCAGGCCAGATCCACGTTGGGGGTCTGGGTCTGATTTCCCAGCCCACCTGTAGTCCCAGTTACTTGGGGGGCCAGCGTGGGAGAATTGTAGCAAAGTCCCCATTGAACAACAACAAAAGATCACTGATCACCGTGACAGGTACAGTGACGATGGAGAAGAGAACCGTGTGAGAGTGACCAGACTGCGGCGTGACGAGAAAGTAAACCGTATTGTTGGGGGATGCTTCCTGTAGGCTTGCGTGATGCACGGCTGACATGAACGTGCCGTTTGTGAACACACGATGCGGTGCCAGGAGGCGAGCTGTCCCGGAGTTGTAACGTTTGTGTATTAGCTACATAACGTCATGCCGGCATTCGTAAACTGCTGCCCAAGGGCCACCGTATGTTTTGTATAGCCACAGAGGCTGTCACCTTGTTCTTAAATCCATTCATTTTTCCCTGACAGACAAGACCCCCCAGAGGCCCTCCTGCCACAGTCGGTCCCAGTCTCAGCTAGACCATCCAGGTACATGCGCCTGTGTGCATGGCCCTAGCGCCTCCCCGTGTGGGTACGGTGGTATTACCTCTGTTACCACCTGGTTAAAAAGAAAGAAAGAATATGCAGCAGGAACCATCCATGGCCTGCAGCACCTGAAATCCCGACTGGTCCTTCACAGAAGCAGCTCACTTGACCTCTGCTCCAGCATGAGGTTACCGTTGTGCTGTGCCCTCCACAGTTACAACACTGTTCTGTTCTGAATCTTGCATTTGCATTTCACCTACTGCTTCTGGAATTTACTTATGTTCATTTCTTGATGCCCCTGCAGGAATGGGTTTCATAATTTCAACTCTGAATAAAGAAACCAAAAAAAAAAAATTTCCTATAATTTTTACCAAGTATTAAGGAACTGCTTAGTAATTCCAGTATTTCTCTGATAAATTCGCCCGTATTTGTTACACTCACACTGCTCACTTCCACTCTGCCTGTGCGTTGGCGACTGTCACATGAGGACCACTGGCTCATTTTACCACCTCTGCACCCTCGTTAACTCCGTGGTGTCCATGCTGACGTGTGCAGGGCACTCTACGTGCGGCGTGGGCGGGTCCTCCAGAGGACTCCGTGTGCCACACTTCACCTGTCTGCAGAGAAGCTCTGACCCGACCTCTGTGTGCCAGACTCAGAACCGGTGCTTTTACGAGCCTGTGATGTCATGCAAACGTGTTGTGTGTGTCAGGTGTATTCAGACAGGAAAAAATGGTGAGAATCAGTCACCTTTTTAGTGAGGAAAACGTGAAACCGGGCATATCTAGATTCTAGTCTTTGCCCTGTCAATTACTAGCTCATGTAACTTCAGGCAAACCACTTAGTCTTTCTGAATTTAATATCCCTCATCTGTAAACATGAGAGAAGACCTACTTCCTTGGCTCCCCGTGGATGTTAGTGACAGGGTGTTTGGTAAGTGCTCAGTTAATGCCGCTTCCTTGTCCCCATCCTGACTTATTACCGACTCACAACCCATCACCATGGAAACACAGGTGAGATTAAGTCCTTGTTCTAAATCAGCTATTTTATCTTTCGTAGGGATACTTCCTAAATATTCACTCAAATACCATTTTAAAAAGTAAAGTTTTGCCGTTGTTTTTTTCTTCAGGTACAAACTGCTTCACCTTCTAGAATTTGATTCAGACCGTAGGAGAATGAGTGTGATTGTTCAGGCACCTTCAGGTGAGCGATCTAAGCTTCGCATGAATTTTCGTTTATCCCTAATACCACGAGCTTGGTAACTCATTTTTTCTTTTTAGGTGAGAAGCTGTTATTTGCTAAAGGAGCTGAATCGTCGATTCTCCCAAAATGTGTAGGTGGAGAAATAGAAAAAACCAGAATTCATGTGGATGAATTTGCTTTGGTGAGTGCAAACATTTCCAGGAGATATATTAGTAAAAGGTTTGGGGCTTTGATCTTTATTAATTTTTATTAGTAACTTACCAAAAATTATAGCAATATTGTCGCTCTTCCATACTATGTGTTGGCACCGCTTTTCTTGTGTACAACCTGACTTCTAATCTGCTTCTCTCAATCCTCTTAGCGTGTCTCTGGTTGCCAGAAGCACTGAAGCTGTGCTGTTAAAAGGGCTTGTTAAAAGAATCTAGGGGCTGGCCCCATGGCCTGTTACTTAAGGGTGCCAGATCCCTCATGGCTGCTTGTACAGGTCAAATCCTGGCCCGGCTGGCTTGAGAAACATGCAAATACTTGTGTGTGCATACCCCAAATCTTGACAGGATAGAAAGATGGAGAAGGGATTTCAGCATTGCCACACCCCATTAGAGGGTACTGTCTTCCCACCTCTTTCTCTCTCCATCTGTCTCTCTATGGCAAACAAACGTACCATCTGACCATTAAAAATTTCGGGTGGCTAGCAGATGGCATAATGACTACATTGCTGGACTCCCATGTGGTCGACCGCGGTTCGCGTCCCGGACCCGGTGGCTTAAACTCACGCCAGGCACATGTGCGTGCGTGCCCAAGATCCCGAGAGGAGAATGGAGGAGAAGGGATTGCGGCGTGGCCATCCTCCCTGGGGGGTGATTTCTCGCTTTCTGTCTCTCTGTCTCTGTCTTTCTGGTGAGTACATGCACCCTATAGCAAAAAACCTCACCAAAGAAAATGATTAAAATAATATTTTTTTTGGAGGGAGATGCCAAAGATCTGTAGAAACTGGAACCCTCTGTACATTGCTGGTGGAGTTACGAATGTGCAGCCACTTTGGAGAGCAGTTTGACATGTCCTCAGAAGTGAACAGAGAGCTTGTATATGCCCAGCAGTTCACTTTTAGTATTTACTCGAGACCTAAAAGCATACGTCCACACAAACGTTCACACGGGTATTCATGAACAGCGTTCGTTCTAATAGCCAAAAGCTATTATAGGCAGAGTCTGCTTACGCCCGTATAGTGGAGTATTATGCAGTCGTTCAGAGGAACGAAGGATGAATCCACGCTGCAGCATGCCTGAACCTCGAGAAGGTCATGCCAACTGAGAAGCCAGTTGTTCATGTCTGCACATTACGTTTACATGAAAACCTCAGAATCCATACTGGGAGCACGCAGATTAGCAGGTGCCAGGGCCGGAGGAAGGAGGTGGAGGAAGGTGTCGCTATGGCTGTGGGATTCCTTCTGGGGTGAGGCGGAGGTGTTCTGGGACTATGGTGGTTATGATTGCACAGCTCTGAATATACAGGAAGGACTGATCTGTACTTTTTAAAAATTTTTATTTTCTATTGAACTTTGTTTTATTCATTTATTTATTTAATTTGACCAAAGAGGGATAGAGTGAATGAGCAAGTGAGAGAGAGAAAAAGAGAGAAGGAAAGTGTGAAAGCAAGTCACCAGGTCCTGGACTCGAACCACGGTCGGCATGTGGGCGTCCAGAGCCCTTAACTACCATGCCACCTGCCAGCCCCTGATTTCTACATCTGAAAGGGCTGAATGTTAGAGCATGTGAATTATATCTCTTATTTTAAAAATGAAAAAGTATAGGGGACTTGTTAAAACAAAGAGCCACAGTCACATGACCTGGAACATTGTAAGCTCCGCTCTCAGAGTCGTGGCTTCATAATCTGTCATTTTTGCATTTCCAGAAGACTTCTTGCAAGTATGCAAAGTATGGTTGATTTGATCATGGCCATTTTACACACGTCTTTATTTCAATGGCAGTAATTCACTTTCTCATCCAGTGAGCTCTGGAAATTTTTTGCCTAAAAAGCAGAGCGAGGTAAAGGTGGGTTTGTAGTTAAGCGGGCGTACGAGAGCAGCCCCTGTGATGTGCACTCCTGAGACGCTGCTCTGCAGGCAGGGCCACATGGGAGGCCCGAGTCCAATCCCTGGCCAGCCTAAAGGGTAGATGAAAGAAACCAGCTATCCATAGTTACCCCGGCAGGCTGCGAAACAGAGGCAAGGGCCCACACGACTGAGACTGACCTGAGCAGAGGCAGACCCTGTCTAAGCAGAGCCAGGCACGATGGTGCCTCCCAGCTGGGAGCCAGGCAGGAAGATTGCCACACACTGAGACCGAGGGCCTGGGGCTGCTCTCTTCACAGTCCTGGAGGTCCCAGTATAAAGCCTGGCCCTCCACATTACACAGTTTTAAAACCACAAATAAGATAGTTACTGTCTTTTGATCTATTTTAGGCTCTAATATTCTATAATTTAATGACCTTCATTATTTCAAGCAACATTTTAAGGACTTATCAGACATTGAAAGCGCTGTGATAAGCCGTGTCCCAGTCCCAGATCACAAGGGCATGGTAGCACCTCGTTTACCTCCTGTCACTAGGTGATGGGACTTTTTTTTTTGAGTTGTTTTGGCTATAGAGTGTGTGTACATGCCAGAAAGAGAGAGACAGTCAGAAAGCGAGAAATCACCCCCCAGGGGGGGTGGCCATGCCGCAATCCCTTCTCCTCCATTTTCTTCTTGGGATCTTGGACACACACGCACATGCGCCCGGCGTGAGTTTAAGCCACCGGGTCCAAGACTCGAACCGTGGTTGACTACATGGGAGTCCAGTGACATAGCCATTACGCCATCTGCTGGTCCAGGTGATGGGACATTTGAAATCATTTGTTGGTTTTTGGTAACGAATCCTCAGTTCATTTCATTGGCTTTTCTGAAGAATTATTTATTTTAATTTATTCATTATTATGTTTTAATTTTAAGATCAGAGAGAGACAGAGAGGAGGAACTGAGAACAAGCCACCAGGTTCAGGACTTGAACGGTGGTCGACTATGTGGGAGTCCAGTACCTTAACCACCACACCACCTAACAGCCCTTCTTTGACTTGGTTTTCTGTTTATGTTTAATTTTTGTCTTCAATTCTGTTTGTTTTAGAAAGGGCTAAGAACTCTGTGTGTAGCCTATAGGAAATTTACGTATAAAGAGTATGAGGACATCGACAGACGCCTGTTTGAAGCCAGGACGGCTTTGCAGCAGCGGGAGGAGAAGCTGGCAGATGTCTTCCAGTTCATAGAGAGAGACCTGGTATTACTCGGGGCCACGGCCGTGGAAGACAGGCAAGTCCCACTTGACTTCCCAGAGCCTTGTTCTAGCCAAGTGTTTCTAATGTATAATGTAAATTGTGTCTATTAACGTTGTATAGTTTTAAACTTAAAAGGAAATTAAAGCCTTAATTTTTCCCAGTCAGTATATATCATTTTTGTCCAAATAGATGAAAGAAACCAGCTATCCATAGTTTTCCCCTCTAGGCTTACATTTTTAGGGTCCTCAGTGTGCCATGCAGAGACTTCTCCAACCTCAGCTCTTACTCTCCCCTTCTCCGTGTGGGTTCTGTAATGCCAGCACAGCTGGAGTTGTCCTGCATGGGGACTGCAGCTTACACCGTTGTGCTCTGTGGCTTTCGTCCCTCGGCAAGAGCACGCCCCTGCCCGGGTGCTTCCTCCCCGTCCATTCGTGAATGCCTTTTCACTAGCATAGCTCGATACTAGCCTCGCTCTTGTAAACATCTAAGACATGCAGACCATCCCCCGTGTTGGCCTGTACATCCCATGAGGTCCTTTTATTCTTTGTTCCTTAGACTCTGTCTCGCCATCTATTCACAGTTTATTGAAGAAGATCAAACTTTGTATGGGTTAGAATGAAGTCTGTAATTAACCTTGCTGTATGTTCCTCTACCCCAACAGCATCTGTCAGGAGAGAGATCCTCGGTGGCATGCATACACACACGACTGATATGCTTTTCAGGCCGCTGGGGTAGGACTTGAACTGTCTGCCCACAGAGGTCTGGCTCCCATGCACTGCACTTACCACTGCACTGCAGGGCCAGGCCTGCATGTTCTTTAAATCTAGGCTTTCGCTTACTCATTGTCCTCATGAGATTTCTGAGACTCACCTGAAGTTATATAGTTCTTTATTCAACACAGTTTGGCTTTTTTTGGTTTTGTTTTTGAGAGGTTTTTGCTATAGGGCGTGTGCACTTGCCAGAAAGACAGAGAGAGAGAAAGCGAGAAATCATGCCCCTGGGGGATGGGAACACACACACGCGTGCCCGGCGTGAGTAGGTCCAGTACTCGAACTGCAGTTGACTACATGGGAGTCCAGCAATGTAGCCATTACGCCAACTGCTGGTCCCTAAAGTATATGAGTTTTCCAAGAAATTATCTTTTTTTTTTTTCCCCTAAGAGATTTTTGTTATAGGGCACATGCACTCTCAGGAGATATGGGGACAGAAAGCAAGAAATCACCCCCCAGAGGGGATGGCCACGCCCCAGTCCCTTCTCCATTTGAATCAGGAGATGTCTGTATGTGTGTGTATGTGTGTATACATTTTTTTTTATTTTAAGAAAGATTTTCCCTATACTGCACATGCACTCTCTGGAGAGACAGAGACACAGCGAGTAATCACCCCCGGGGGGCTTGGACACGCCACAATCCCTTCTCCATTCTCCTCTAGGAGAATGGGCATGTACACATACACGCACACGCTTAGTGTGAGTTTTAAGCTACTGGGTCCAAGACTTAAAGCACAGTCGACTGCATGGGAGTCCAGCAACGAAACCATTGCACCATCTGCTGGTCCCGTCACTACATTTTTAACAAGAAAATTTGAGGGGCGACCAACAGTTGGCATAATGGCTATGTTGCTGGACTCCCATGTAGTCCACCATGGTTCAAGTCCCGGAACCAGTTGCTTAAACTCATGCTGGGCACATGTGTGTATGTGCCCAAGATCCTGAGAGGAGAATGGAGGAGAAGGGATTGTGGTGTGGCCATCCTCCCTGGGGGGTGATTTCTCGCTCTCTGTCTCTCTTTGTCTTTCTGGTGAGTGCACATGCCCTACAACCAAAAAAAAGACAATTTCTTGGGAGCCGCAGATAACATAATGGTTCTTTTCTTTTTTTAAATATGTGTATGTATATGAGACATCTTCTGATCAAATTACAAGACTTTCTAACAGTAGAAGTCTATGAAAGCCACATAGTTAATTTGGTTCTATAAAAATAAACTTTGAGGATATACTCTTAAAATATGATGAGGCCCAGCTATTATGGCACACAGATGTTCCACCACTTGAGAAACTAGAATCCTTCGAGGAGACACAGGTTCAATTCCTGGGCCAGCCTGAAGACATAAGGCACAGTTGCAGGCATCTGTAATCCTAGTGAATTGGGAGGCTGCAGAAAGAGAATGGGGACATGGCAAAACCCTGTCAAAAAATGCCTATGTTTTCTCCTCCCACCCCAGTGAGGGACATAGTTAGAGATAGGAAGTGGTAGATTTTGCATTAACCAGATCATCACTATCTGCTTATTCCTGTTCTTCCCCATGGGTAAAAATTTCAGTTATATTGTTAGACTCTCCACGTTCTGAGGTCAAAGAGTTGTGATTCTACCTTACAGACGCAATGTCGTTTATACTGAACATGGGGTCAGAAAAGTGTTGTCTACTATCAATTTTGTTCCTTCTATTTTTAGACTACAAGATAGAGTTCGAGAAACTATCGAAGCATTAAGACTGGCTGGCATCAAAGTCTGGGTACTCACTGGGGATAAGCATGAGACAGCCGTGAGTGTGAGCCTGTCCTGTGGACACTTTCACAGGACCATGAACATTCTGGAACTTATAAACCAGAAATCGGACAGCGAATGTGCCGAACAATTGAGGCAACTTGCCAGACGGTAAGGGTATGGGAATGGGTCTGAACCTTGCTGTTCGGGGCTCAGGGAGCTGCCATGGCCTGTTTTTCTGAAGTAGTAGTTTTACATTTTTGATGAATGAAAAAGAATCCAAAAAAGAATATTTTATGACATGAAAATTATATAAAATTCGAATTTCAGTGTTTTTTACTTAATTTTTAATTGCCAGAGGGCCTGTGTGCTTATCAGAGCGACAGAGAAGGAAGGCAGACAGAGACCCCATGGGGCATGGTCACACTACAGTCCCTTCTCCATTTCTCTATCCAACCAGGGTTTGGGGGGTGTGTGTACACACACCACATCACACATGGATACACACAAGCGCGTGCACACACACTCACACACACACACGGTGTGTTTCTCAAGGCTCTAGGGCCAAGATTCAAACCGTGGTTGGCCACGTGGGATCCGGTTCCCTTTACCTCTAGGCTATGGGGACGGCCCTCTCATTCCAGAGTCTGTTAACCTAGTCTCATCGAGACAGCCACACGCACCTGGTCACATGCTGCCCAGACTGCCTGTGCACCGGGGCACCACCGTTGCGTGTTCGGGACAAAGCGCTCGCGCAGTTCTGTCTCCCACACTGCAGCGTGCCACGCGGCACGTCTTCCACTTGGTGGTTCGCATGCCACACACAGTACCAAATCACGACGGTTTACTGCTGCTCACTGTCAGTGCATGGCCCTCACGTCAGAGCTACGAAGGAAACGATTTTAGTGTCACTCTTCCGAGACGCGGCGAGTGGAGTCATCTGGTGCTGAGCTGGATGGCCAGGCAGCGGGTACGCGGCAGCGATCAAGTGGCTATGCTCCCGAGCAGGCGCGTTGCCAGAGCTGAGCTGTACAACCCCATTACGCGTGGTTCTGTTGTATCTCATCAGACATCGGCATTAGCAGATGAGCATTTGCTCTTCATTTGATGGTAGGCAACATTAACTTTGAGCCCCAGTTAAGCGAAACATTAATTCCTTTCCACATCTATTCTTCTCATTAGTTTACCACTATTATTTAAAAAAAAAAGGTAAGTTATTACTACATTTTTAATGTACTGATAAAAGTTTTGTTGAAATTCTTTTCTCTTGTTATATAAGTACCTACATAACATACATCCCCCCTCCCCCAAATTGAAATATTTACTCTCTTGTCCTTGATGGTATTTATCAAACTCTAGTTCATATGACCAAACTAGGAAATTAATTTGCATTTTACATTTTAAAGATTATATACTGGGGCAGGCAGGTGGCATGGTGGTTAGGGATGCTGGATGGTTCAAGTGTCGGACCTGACAGCTTGCTTTCTCACTTTCCCTCTCTCTCCCTCTCTTTCTCTCTCACACCGTCCTTCTCCAATCAAATTTAAAATAAGTAAATAAAAAAGTTAAATAAAATAATTTTTTGAGAGGTTTTTGCTATAGGGTACGTGCACTTGCCAGAAAGACCGAGACAGAGAGACAGAAAGCGAAAAATCACCCCCCAGGGGGGATAGCCACGCCGCAATCCCTTCTCCTCCATTCTCCTCTCGGGATCTTGGCCACGCACGCACACACGTCAAGCATAAGGTTAAGACACCATGTAACTGCCGTCGACTACATAAGAGTCCAGTGACATAGCCATTATGCCAACTGATGATCCCCCAAGTAAAATAATTCTTCAAAAAAAAAAAAAAAAAAAAAGATTGTATCCTAAGGGTTTATACTGTAGTCCAGTTGTGTGTGTGTGTGTTTTGCCAGGGAGCACGTATACTTTCCAGGCAGAGAAAGAGTAAAAGCAAGAAGGCACCGTCCCCATCAGTGGGTCTTGGACATCCACAGTCCCACGTCCACTCTCCCTCCTTTCCGGAGTTTGGGCACACACGCCCGCCCAGCACATGACTCAGGAACTCCAACCATGTTGTCGGTCACGGCACCTTCAACACCCAGTTCAGTCTTTTTTGTGAACGTGTTTTTTATAGGAGATCACTTTCATTTGGTTGCCCCATGTAACACAGCATAATTTTCACAATATGGTAAAGAGTACTTCAGGGTCAGCAGGTGGCGTGGTGATTAAGGTGCTGGACTCCCGCACTGCTAGACCAGAATTCGAGTCCTGGACCTGGCAACCTACTTTCTCACATTTCCTCTCTCTTCCTCGCTCTCTGTCTCTCTCTGGTGAAACATGCCCTCTGGCAAGTTAGAAAATAATAATAATGAAAAATAAAGTTCAATAAATGAGTATTTAAATTTTTTTAAAAGCATACTTAGGTGTGAGCATCCAGGCTTCCTGTGTATAGTCATACTGGATGTCCTGCAGGTAGCTATTTATCTTTTTTTTGCAAGCATTAATGTGGCGCTGACCTCTGGGTTTCACCAAAGGAACACTTACTTAAGAGCTGTTCACAAAGACAGTACAACTGCCAGAGGGCCGCTGCGGGAATGCAGGTCATCCGTCTAGGTGACGTTCTGCAGTTTGGAAACAGTGCCAACACCGTGTGGTTTTTTAACAGTTCAGTGCCATAATATCAAGGTGAATTTCCTAAAATATAAAAACTAATTGTTTAGAATCTCTTACTTTATATATACCTTCTAAAATATTTTTCCAAAGTGATAGATCGCTCTTAAAAATTACCAAAAATTATAAAGAAAATATAGTGATTTAAAACATAATACAACTGCCTAAAGATAAGTATTATTTATATTTTAACACGTTAAGTCTCTTATATGTAGGTTTTTAATGAATATGGTATGTTATTAGTATTGTTCATTTTGCCTTTTTTTTTTTTTTTAAGAATTATTTTTATTTAACATTATTTATTTATTTCAATTTGACCAGAGAGGGACAGAGAGAGCGAGAAAATAAGAAAGAAAGAAACCAAGCCTCCGGGTCCAGGACTCAAACCACAGTCAGCCGTGTGGGAGTCCAGTGCCCCTAAGCACCACCATGCCTCTTGGTGGACCCCATTTCCCTTTTTGTACATAAGGGGTATTATATGTATAGAATATACCCTCAGAGTGAAGTTTAGGCTTGCTATCCTGGTCCCACTGTGCTGCCTCTAGAAAATACATGAGACCTGGTTGTTTATAAAGGAAAGAAATTTCTCTCTCGCAGTTGGGGACTCAGAAGTCTAAGACCGAGGTGCTGGCAGGTGAGCTGCTGGAGGCTGCTCCCTGCTTCTACAGTGTCTCTGAGTTCAGCCCTGGGCAGGGGGGACCCTGTGTTCTCACATAGCAGAAGAGATGGAACGGCAAGAGAGGGCCTCTTTTATTGGTCCTTCATCCAGTGATGAGGGTGGCTTCAGCACTTCATAAAAAGCCACCTTTTTGTTTGTTTGTTTGTTTGTTTGCTATAGGACACAGCATGCTTGCTGGACAGAGACGGAGACAGAGAGAGAGGGAGAGTGAGAAGTCCCCACCCAGTGGGGATGGCGTTGTCATAGTCCCTGCTCTTGAGATCTCCTCTTGGGGTTTGGGGCCTGCATGCACACATGTCCAGCGTGTTTTTCATGCCACTGGGTCCATGACTCACACCACGGAGTTGGCCATGTGGGATCCAGGCCATGTGGGTGCCTTCACCCCCACACCACCTGCTGGCCCAGAGCCCGCCTCTTAATCCCACGTCAGGTGATTCCACATGCGTTTTGGAGGGGTGCCACATTCAGACCATAGTACTCGCTATATGAAATTTAGAGTCCTTCTCAGAGAGATATTTAATGGAATACATTTTATGACATTACTGTCTAAATGAGCAGGATTTTTATTTACAGATTATCAGCAAGTATCTCGTCTAAGCATATGTATTTTTAAATGCCTTGAGGCCATAGAAGCTTCTAATTGATTGGTAACATTATGGTAGTGTTCTATTTTATTTCCTCATGGCTTTTTAAATGTTTGTTTGTTTGTTCCATGAAAGGGGGAGATGGGGGAGAGAAAGACACCCCCATCAGGATCTCCACACCACAGCCCACCCCAGTCTCTGCCAGCCTGGGCCGTGGCACCTGCGTGTGCACCTGGCATGGTCAGAGGTCCTCTGGGACCCCATCCCGGGCCTCGCCCTGCGGAGTCCCCTTGTGTTATTACTGGGCCACCACCTGTCCTCATCTAAAAATCTTGAGGAAGTCTTACGTTGAACAAAGAATTTCACAGATTTGAAAGCTTTATTTTTCTGTCATTTCCTCACATATATTGTCACCTGTCTAAGCATTTGGAATGTGACCGTGTAATCTCCAAATACTCACGATAGCCGGGGCACTGAGAAGTGAGGATGTTGTCACAGACCTACCAGGGCTGCGTTGTACCCAAGGCAGGAGCTGCGTCTGTGGGACCAGAGGGAAGCTTAGCCTCGCCAGGAATGTCAGGGAGAACGGATACGGTGTCGGCTCCTGAGTGGGAACCGTGGACTGGACAAGTGACACGATGACGAGAAGGGGCCCCGTGTGCAGGTGCCCAGAGCAGGAGAGGCCCCGGCACGGAGCTGAGGTGTGGGCGAGGAGGACGCAGGTGCTGCCCGCGTGCCCGCCGGTGGGTGCTGCTTCACGTTTCTCCATGTCGCCGCACGGATTCTGGGGCCGCAGCACAATAATTAGGTCTGCCCAGTGGGAAGGTTCCCTGGGAAAACCTGATCTGCCCCACACCTGCCTCCACTTCTTCTCCTGAGGCGTGATCAGGCAGTCGTTAGGACAGATTAAAGACATGGGAGGTAGCGAGGTAAAGGTTGACCTTGTGGCGTTTACATTTTTTCCCAAGTTTGTGTATTCCGTGAAAGAGGGAGACAGAGAGAGAGAAAGACACCCCCAACAGTAAGGTAGGAAAAGAGTCAAGGTAGATTTCAGATATAAAAGAAGAAAAAAATACATTTTTAAAATGTATTATGATGTAAAGTGACTTGCTTACCACTTACTAGTTAATACATCCTTTTAACTTACTTAGGTGTCTTTTTCCTACTCTTAGTCCAAAATCTATCAGTGTATAAAGCTTTTATACTTTGTTATTAGTCTCTTTTTTTGTAGCAGTACCACTTCTTATTTTTTAATTCCGTGTTACCGTTATTTTTAAGCATCTGGTCACGGTGCATCATTTGTCGTGTAAAGTAAATTTACCCGCCATGACGTGCACAGCAGGCCGGGCGAGATGAGAGTACCATGCACGGTGCCGTTTACCGGCCTTCGGTGCAGTCGATGGAACTGATTTCATTCTCGTGCAAGCCCCTTCTCCAGACAGCGAATAGTTTGCCCAGCTGCCTGTGGCACACCACACCTTGAGGGGCATTTGGGAAGCCGTGTGCCCAGTGCGGCGTTACCCGTGTCCCTCCACAGAGGTAGCTGGCGTCACCGTCCACTTTGGGGTTAGTGAGACAACGCGCATCGCCACGCTCCTTTCCTGCTTGCACGTAGGGTGAATCTAGCTCACGGAATTTTCTCAACAGTTCTGATTTAACTTCGAGTTTCTAAATGTATAATAATGTTTTTGTTTTTGTTTTAAGACTTACCATACTCACAATGTGGGAGTATAAAGTGTTTTAGAGGATGTGTTTGTTACAGCTCAACGTTTCTGAAAATATCCATACGGTTATACGTCATGTCATTGTGAAATCAAATAACCGTGTTTTACTCCGCACAGGACTGACTCAGTTCTGCGTAATCTTGACTTTGAGGTAACGCAGCCGAGGTTATCTCCCAGCGTACCGTCTTTCACAGCAGGAAGTCTGCAGGTGTACAGTCCATGTTTTAGTAAGAGTCTTTGGTCCGGTGCGAGGACAGAAAACTTGCCTTCGACGTAGCTCACAGGTGAAGCAATTCTTTTCTCTCCTAGAATCACAGAGGATCACGTGATCCAGCACGGGCTGGTGGTGGATGGAACCAGCCTCTCTCTCGCACTCAGGGAGCACGAAAAACTATTTATGGACGTTTGCAAAAACTGTTCGGCTGTCTTATGCTGTCGTATGGCACCACTGCAGAAAGCGAAAGTACGTATGTGTTATTAAAAGTTTCGTAAAGATAGATAGGTCTGAAATCTTACTAAGGCCAGTGGCTTCTGTCGTCCCCTTTAGTGTATGTGAGTTACGAGGAGCTAGTCACATCTCATGTCAGGAACTTTAACCACGTCCAGTAACTTTTGGGATTCTCAGAGTGAACGTGCAAGTTTCAGCCGTTGGCAGCGGTCTGTGATCGTTCTGAAACCTGGATGTGACCTTGGTGACTGGTGTCCACAGGCGCTTTACTTAGCTGGTGAGGGAGCCTCAGGCCGGCTCCCCCCTGCCTGCAGGCGATCTGTCGGCCTCTGCCTTTTCTGCCTTCTCATTTAGTCCTCGCTTTTTGTTAAAAGTGGCTACCAAGGGATGAGTGGAACTTTAAGAAAAAGTTAAAGCCAGTTAGCTTGTAAATGAAGTTGTATACAGGAAACACAAATGTTAGCTTTCTGTGATTCCAGGGAATGCCTGTATACTTCCTGTAATTTCGGCTTTGGGTGATTCCTTTCACAAGTCCCCTAGGCAATGCATACCTACTGACTGCTTCACATACAGGCGTAATTAATTGCACACCCACAGTTTTTTGGCTTGTAGAATTTTGTGAGTGTCTGTATTATTATAGACACTGTCAGTGAAGACTGAAATAGAGCCTAAGTTCTCTTAAAGGCAGTTGTTTTTCAAAACTGTGTTTACTACAAGAGAAAACAGTTGTTTTTCCTCTGTATCAAATGATAAGAATAATTTCTTGAGAAAGAACGAATTTAGCCTGATAGAATTCAGGTGTAATTCTTTTCATTTAAATTATCAAACTTTTTAAATGTCTTAACTCTGTTTAAAAGATTCTTTCTCTTCAATATAAAGTCTAAAGATAATACTTTGTTTTATTTTGACATTTCTGACAGACAGTTCTAAAATCTTTGAGACACCCCTCCAAAAAAAAATCATATCATTATGTTAATATAAAATTAAATTTTTTTATCACTACTCTTAATGTAGAGTCATTTCAGATAAATGGCTTTGTATAAATACAAGACAATTGAACTAGAAACTCCATTTTAAGAACTAATTTGTTCCCTGTCTTTCAGGTGATAAGACTGATCAAAATCTCACCCGAGAAACCCATAACGCTGGCCGTCGGCGACGGTGCGAACGATGTGAGCATGATCCAGGAGGCACATGTTGGCATAGGTGACTGATTTGTATCCCGAACGTGGTGTCATTATCTGATGTTCTCGAATTCTCCTTTTCTAGGTTAAAGTACAATATCAAATGTGTATAAAAATGAAAGGCAACACGCTACTACAAGGCGTCTTCATAAAGTTTATTAAAAATGTATATTATGTAAAAGCTATAAGTGGATTTGACATTTTTTTGTACCAAAATAAACCCACAATTTAATTCCATTTTTCTACAAACTTTTAGATGTCCCCCTTGTATATAACAGTATATCCCCCATGAGAACTCTCTTGTAATTAAACCCACTATTTAAGGTAGGTAGGTAGAAATCTTACAGTAAATAAATACCATATTAATGCCGTAGTGATATTAGTGGATTTTGTCTTTGTCAATTCGCCTTTATAATCAAATTACCAGACCTTTACTTTTGGATGCCGTCGTATCCCCTTTAAGGTACTTTCATACATTATATTAGCCCTTTTAAACTCTAAATTTGTGACCTCCGTAGTTACCCTTATGGTTTTTAATTCTTTGTAATGTTAGTAGCATTTACATTATTTATGAATCTAAAAATTCTGCAGTGTGTTTTAATGACAGTCTTAGAGACTAAAAAATCATGCTGAACTGTAATAAAAATAGAAAAATTAAAATAGTTTTTGTGATTTTAATTACCTTTATTTTCATTTAATTTTATTTTTTGACTAAAACAAAGTTGGTATTGGATCCAGAATACTACAGCTTTTGTTAATTTTTTTTCGGCTTTGGGTGATTCCTTTCACAAGTCCCCTAGGCAATGCATACCTACTGACTGCTTCACATACAGGCGTAATTAATTGCACACCCACAGTTTTTTGGCTTGTAGAATTTTGTGAGTGTCTGTATTATTATAGACACTGTCAGTGAAGACTGAAATAGAGCCTAAGTTCTCTTAAAGGCAGTTGTTTTTCAAAACTGTGTTTACTACAAGAGAAAACAGTTGTTTTTCCTCTGTATCAAATGATAAGAATAATTTCTTGAGAAAGAACGAATTTAGCCTGATAGAATTCAGGTGTAATTCTTTTCATTTAAATTATCAAACTTTTTAAATGTCTTAACTCTGTTTAAAAGATTCTTTCTCTTCAATATAAAGTCTAAAGATAATACTTTGTTTTATTTTGACATTTCTGACAGACAGTTCTAAAATCTTTGAGACACCCCTCCAAAAAAAAATCATATCATTATGTTAATATAAAATTAAATTTTTTTATCACTACTCTTAATGTAGAGTCATTTCAGATAAATGGCTTTGTATAAATACAAGACAATTGAACTAGAAACTCCATTTTAAGAACTAATTTGTTCCCTGTCTTTCAGGTGATAAGACTGATCAAAATCTCACCCGAGAAACCCATAACGCTGGCCGTCGGCGACGGTGCGAACGATGTGAGCATGATCCAGGAGGCACATGTTGGCATAGGTGACTGATTTGTATCCCGAACGTGGTGTCATTATCTGATGTTCTCGAATTCTCCTTTTCTAGGTTAAAGTACAATATCAAATGTGTATAAAAATGAAAGGCAACACGCTACTACAAGGCGTCTTCATAAAGTTTATTAAAAATGTATATTATGTAAAAGCTATAAGTGGATTTGACATTTTTTTGTACCAAAATAAACCCACAATTTAATTCCATTTTTCTACAAACTTTTAGATGTCCCCCTTGTATATAACAGTATATCCCCCATGAGAACTCTCTTGTAATTAAACCCACTATTTAAGGTAGGTAGGTAGAAATCTTACAGTAAATAAATACCATATTAATGCCGTAGTGATATTAGTGGATTTTGTCTTTGTCAATTCGCCTTTATAATCAAATTACCAGACCTTTACTTTTGGATGCCGTCGTATCCCCTTTAAGGTACTTTCATACATTATATTAGCCCTTTTAAACTCTAAATTTGTGACCTCCGTAGTTACCCTTATGGTTTTTAATTCTTTGTAATGTTAGTAGCATTTACATTATTTATGAATCTAAAAATTCTGCAGTGTGTTTTAATGACAGTCTTAGAGACTAAAAAATCATGCTGAACTGTAATAAAAATAGAAAAATTAAAATAGTTTTTGTGATTTTAATTACCTTTATTTTCATTTAATTTTATTTTTTGACTAAAACAAAGTTGGTATTGGATCCAGAATACTACAGCTTTTGTTAATTTTTTTTTTTTTTTAAGAGAGATTTTTGCTAAAAGACGCATGCACTCACCAGAGATTCAGAGTGAGAAATCACCCCCTAGGGGGAATGGTTATACTATAGTCCCTTCCGCTCCATCCTCCTCTTGGGATTTTTGGCATGCGTGCACACAGATCTGGCGTGTTTTATGCCGCCAGGTCGAGGACTCAAACCTCAGGCAACTAGGTGGGAGTTCAGTAACGTAACGATTACGCCATCTGCTGGCCCCATAATTTGTTAATCATTTTTTATTTTATCAATATTCCAACTTGTCTCCTCTATAATTATTATTTTACAAAGAGGAAAAGAAAAGTACTGGTACAGGTTTTTTATTAAAGAGTAAAATTTAAGAGTTAGAATTAAATGATTCCTATTCTGAAATAGTCTGCATGATACCCTCTAAAGGGAAGTTAGAGTTGGATCTCTCCAGGTCTTTCCTGTTAGCGGTTATTGGCTCTTTGATTAGAAAAAGTTTTCTTTCTACATTTTTATACTGTTGTTTCCCACAAATCTTCATAGCAATTTGATGAAAACTCCCTCTACCATACTTGAAACATAAAAAACTTAGAGTGCTAACTGACAGTTTGATTCTATTGTGATGACAGACCAGTAGAAAAAACAGATTGAAGCATCTAGACGATTAGTGTAACAAAGAGATGTTTCAGTTAAGTAGAGAAACAAATTACTCAATTTTAAAAAATGATAAAATTTGTTATTCAGAAAAAAAGTTGCATCCCATTTTGTTTCTTACAGCAAAATTAATTCAGGATGGATTAAGAATTTAAATAATTTTTAAAGATCATAAGAAGTAATAGGGAAAAACTTAGTGAATAATCCTGTTATTCAAGGTGCAGAAGAATCTTTGAAGCAGAACACCCAAAGCAAGGAACTAAGTTTTGCTATTGTGTTTTCTTTATGAGGGGAAGAGAACAAAGAACAGAGAGAGAGACAGAGATAGGTGACCTTTGACAAGGTCAAAATGCCATGACCCTCCTGCGTCACCTTCCCAGCTAGCTAGGATTACACGGCAGGGCCACCACGTCGGGTGTGTCTAGGTTGGCCGGGAACCAAAGCTAGGTCTCCCATGCAGCTTGCAACTTCCAAGCAACATGCCACCTAGGCACCACTTCATCTGGCCGTAAGATGAAGTTTGGACGTTCCTAATCAGAACTCTGCTCTAGAGACATGTAGAAGAATATGAGCTGTCACCTGTTACAAGAAGCGACACCTAGAATGAATACTAAATGTGTATAAAACTATTTAGTTTCTCTGGAGGTGGCAAAGAGGTAGATGGACAGATACGCGTAGTGTTGTTAGGGGTTTGAACTGGAGCTACATGCATCATCGTGCAGAACGAAATTCTCAGAAGGGACCAACAGATGGCATAAGGATTACGCTGCTGGACTCCCACATAGTCAACCACAGTTCGACTCCTGTCCCCGGTGGTTTAAAACTCAGGCCGAGCACGTGTGCGTGTGTGCCCTTAATCCCAAGAGGAGGCTGGAGGAGGGATTGTGGCGCAGCCATCCCCACGTGGAGTACTTACTTACTTGCTTTCTGTTTATCTCTGTGTCTCCAATGAGCATGTGCCCTATAGCAAAAATCTCTCTCAACAAAAGTAATATCCATAATCTATGGAGGAACAGAAGCAGATTATGGAACAACCCTATTTTTGTATGCATTTCCATATGTTAGACACATAGGAAATACACAGAAAGAAAAGTTCTCACAGGGCAGGACAGAAACAGTGTTCTCTAGGTGTAAGAATACAGGCGATTTTCAGGGCCTATATGTTTTGAAACCTTTCAGTCCTTTTATGACTAAAAACCAAACTTGGCATTTACTCTTTTTTGCTTTTTTGAAATGTAAAGACTTAACTAATCTAAAAAAGTATTCATATTTGTCAGATAAAATGATACCCTAGTTGCAGATGATATTGTACATTTTTCTTTTAAAGTGAAACTTGGTAAGTGGTTAAACGTATTCCCTGCGGCTCGGTTGACATGAGTCAGTCTGAGTTCTTTTAACTTTAGTTGGAAACAGTGAAGGTCGGCCTTCTGTCCATCAGCAGTCCGTTACCCGGTACTTTGTGTTTGTTGGTCTTACAATTAATGTTCTTTCTAGACCTTGAACTGTTAAGATTATTGTTGCATTAATTTTATTCTCATCCTTTAAAAATCCATGTATATGCCTGCCGTTTACCGTAGCTTTATATTAGGTATTGACGTGGAGCAATTTGTGGGCACCTCTCTGCTGTAAGTGAAGACCCAGTGTCCTGAGCTGAGGCCCAGGTGCTGTAGCTAATTAGCACAAGTTCAGATACGCCGTGACAGTCACACTTACGCTGATCAGTGAACCTACCTTTTTGTCCCCTTCCTTACAGGAATCATGGGTAAAGAAGGAAGACAGGCGGCAAGAAACAGTGACTATGCCATAGCTAGGTTTAAATTCCTCTCCAAACTGCTTTTCGTTCACGGCCATTTTTATTATATTAGAATAGCTACCCTTGTACAGTATTTTTTTTATAAGGTGAGTTTTATGTAAATATTTCAAATTAACTATTGATGATAGCAGTTTGAAGTTTCAATGTAAGGAATGTTGTAACCGTATAAATTACTATTGAAAATTGTTTTTATAAGTAAAAATAATACTATTAATCCAGCCTACACTTAAAGCAAAATTGCTGGGGACCAAAGGTACAGGTGGTGAATTGACTGCGAAAAAGATAGACAGAAACTTGTGGAGCAGGGGAATGCGCTCTAATTGTATTATGTGGTAGTGTATAAATTGTCAGAACACATCAACATTCACCGTTCACGTTGCATTTTATTCTGTTTAAATTAGAATGTAATAAATTTGATTTCCTCGAAGTTGTTTCATCCTGAATCAGTAGTAAGCTTTCATTTACTCCAATAGGATGATTTCAGGAAAAGTTCCTAACCTTCTATTGAGCCAGAGACGGCCCTCCAGTAGCCTGGTGAGACGTGCGTGCTCCTCAGCGTAGGGTTTCTGTGCAGAAAGTACAATACGCAGAATTCCAGGGGGAACGGTCATGTGGAAGTGCATGCCACAGCTGGACCCTGTAGGGGAGCATGGGAGGCTGTGAAGCCCATTAAGAACCTCTGCTACCACGAGATGGAATTCTAGCGCGTCCGCTGTTGCAGATGCTCGTAATTAATAGCTGCATGCCAGTGGAAGAACATGAATTGCTCATCTCCATGAGACAGTGGGGCGGCTTTCTTCTAGCTCATTATTCAAGCTTTTTTTATTTTTATTTTTGGGAAGGATATTGAGATGGAAAGATTGTCGTTAGTTCCATTTATTGTGTGTTTTAAACATTTTCACACTGCGAAGATTTCTTAGCCTAAAGGTCCAGGAAATCTATGAAAGATTGAAGCATAGTTGGAAGGTTATAAATTCAAAGCTGTGGTATTGCTTAGCAATGGAGGAGTCGAGCATATTTATTTATTTTATTTTTGTATTACTGCTTAGCATACTTATAGACATTTTTTTTCTATAAAGATGGTGTCTCAGGCTGGCCTCATGGCCTAGTAGTTAAGGGAGTTGGACCCCTCATGGCTGACTGTGGTTTGAATCCTGGTGATTGAAAAAACACACTGAACACGTGTGTACGTGCCCCTAATCCGGAAAAGATGGGGAAATGGAGGAGAAGGGATTTTAGAATGGTCATGGCCCATGAGGGGTGCTTTCTCCCTTTCTCCCCCTTATTTCTCTATCTTCTGGCATGCATCCGCTAGCAATTAAAAAATGAGTTAATAAAGACAAGGTCGCCATGTCACGATCCTCCCACCTCGACCTGCTGGGATTGCAGGCATGCCCTGTCCATGGGCCTCCTACGTGGCCTGGCCCACATAGTGCCTTCGCATGAGCAGCCACCACAGCTGTGCCAATGAACAGTTCCCATAAAATGGGAAGTCTGCTTTCCCATCGTATTCTATGGATGTGTCCGAAAGGGAAGATGCTCTACTTATCATAGCAACCGATTGTGTTTTTGGATGCTTCAGTAGCCATTTTTAGAATTACTTTTGTGTTTTACATCTAAGTATTTCAATTCTCATTTTATTTTGTTTTTCAGAATGTGTGCTTTATCACACCCCAGTTTTTATATCAGTTCTACTGTTTGTTTTCTCAACAAGTAAGTAAAAAGAAGCTTGCATTTTGTCTTGTTAAAATAAGGTTTATATGTATAGATTTTGAACAGACCTTTGGCAGTATTTTTTCTTAATCCTGCAGGTAACTAGACTAACTAAACTATGACTTGGATCAACTGGTTCTACCTAACTTAGCACCCTTTCATTGCCACATTAGACATCTCTAATTGATCAGGATGCTGGTTCTGATTTATTGAAAACCAAAAGCTTAATTATCTTCGGTTTTTCACGAATCACTCCTCTTCCTCCTCACTGTTTTCTCCTTGTCTACAATCTTTAACGACATAGTCCCACTGTCTGCCCCGGCTGGGGCTGCCCAGGACAGTTTGTTTGCCTGACTGAAGTACGCAATATAAGATAGAAGACCTTGTGACAGGGGGACCTGACCTGTTAGGATTGGAGTCCAGGGGGTCTGCGTATGACCTGGGAGGCAGTATTAACAATACAGTGTGTGAAGCATGGGCAGTGGGGGACAGGTGGCCAGAGTTGTGGCCTCTATGCCCATGCAGAGGTAAGTTAGTGTCACATACAGGCTGTTGGGAAAAGTTCCACGGAAGAAGAGTCTTGCTTAGTGCCTTACAGCAAGTCCAGGGCGTAGACGGGAAGACAAAGCCACGGAAGCCAGTCTGCCTGTGTAATGCACAGGACGGAGAGGAAGACCCTCGGTGGCTGTGGCAGAATTGTGTCCAAGACATCACCGTCACCAAATTGTGAAGAATTTCAAATGTAGATCTGATTCATTGCAACTCCATAAATACCTGACATAGCGAAATATTCCAATTCCCATAAAGAATATAAATCTAGGAAAAACCAAGGGACATTATATGTTCATGTCTGCGTAAAGAACAAATTAGGGATTGGCCGGCAGGTGGTGGTGTGGTTAATGGCGCTGGGCTTCCACATGGCCAACTGCGATTGAGTCCAAGACCTGGTGGTTTGCTTGTTCGCTCACTCTCTCTCTCTCTTCCTTTCTGGTCAAATTAAAATAACATAAATAAAGATAAAATAATTCTTTAAAAAAACCGGAGGGACCAGCAGATGGTGTAATGGTTACGTCACTGGACTCCCACTTAGTTGACTACAGTTCGAGTCCTGGACCAAGCAGCTTAAAACTCATGCCAGGTCCATGTGTATGTGTGCCCAAAAATCCCAAGAGGAGAATGGAAGAGAAGGGATTGTGGTGTGGCCATCCCCCTTGAAGGGTGATTTCTTGCTTTCTGTCTCTCTGTCCCTCTCTGTCTCTCCGGCAAGCACACACATCCTATAGCAAAAATCTCTCTGGGGAAAAAAAAATGGAGTTATTTAATTAGAGTTATTTAATTTTATTTAAAATGGGTTTTGGTATAAATTTTAAAGACATAATTTTATGCTTAATTTTAGTATGTTTCTTTGTGATTTATGCATAAATATAAATAATATGTAACTACCTCAAAATTCTTCCCAACTTCTCTTTCTAGACACTGTATGACAGCGTGTACTTGACCTTATACAACATTTGTTTTACCTCCCTACCTATTCTGATATACAGTCTTTTGGAACAACATATAGATCCTCATGTATTACAGAACAAGCCCACCCTCTACCGGTGAGTACTCCCCAGTGTCGAACACCCATGGCCTGTCTGATTGCATGTTAGTGTATGAAATAGTTACCAATTTTAGAAATACGCAGAAAACTAGTACGTTAGTGTCGGTGCATACTGCTTTCCTAAGAAAAGTCCTTTAGTTTTTATATGATTTAAAGTTGTTGAATATTGGGCCGGCAGGTGGCATGATGTTCACAGGCAGTAGCTCCCACATTGCCAACTGCGATTCGAGTCCCAGACGTGGCGCTTGCTTTCTCACTTTCCCTCTCTCTCTTTCTCTCACTCTGTCCCTCTCTGGTCAAATTAAAATAAATAAAGTTAAATAAAATAATTCGTTTTTTTTAAAAAGTTTTGACTATCAAAGAGAAATCTGAATAATTTTTTTTTTGAGAGGTTTTTGCTATAGGGCACGTGCGCTCACCAGACAGAGAGAGACAGAGAGATAGAAAGTGATAAATCCCCCCCAGGGGGGATGGCCACGCCGCAATCCCTTCTCCTCCATTCTCCTCTCAGGACCTTGGGCACGCACGCACATGCGCCCGGCATGAGTTTAAGCCACCGGGTCCAGGATGTGAACCGTGGTCAACTATGTGGGAGTCCAGTGACATAGCCAGTATGCTAACTGCTGGTCCCAATCTGAATAAATTTTACAGTGTTTTTTTACAAAGAACATTTTTATCCCAGGAATGCACTGGGAAGTTTGTACTCAAACATGTATTTTGTGTACATAAAAAGTTATTCAGTAATGGGCCTGCAAGGGGCGTGGTAGTTAAGGTGCTAGACTCCCACATGGCTATCCACGGTTGGAGTCCCAGACCTGGTGACTTGCTTTC